GAAAATTAACTGTGAATCTTTTTAACATTGAAATTATATTTATTGCAAAAACCATTAACGATTATGAATAAATATTTCCATACACATCATTAGAAACTATGATGTTAAATCAACAATCAAAAGAATTATAAATATCCCCTTCGACAAGTGCTATTATTTAATAGAAATTTTAAAAAATGCCATTTTTCAATTGCCACTTTACAAAAATACCACATTTTTGAAATTTTTACAAAAATGCCACTTTTTTAAAATTATATTTTCTTTATATTTATGTTTGGGTTAATTATGTTCTATTAGGGTTTAGTTTTGAGTGTTTAGGGGGTTTTAAGTGTCAAAACATTTTTTAGGGTTTATAATTTTAGAGAAATTTCAAAAAGTGCCACTTTTCAAGTGCCACTTTACAAAAATGCCACACTTTTGAAATCTTTACAAAAATACCACTTTTTCAAAATTATTTTTCCTTTATATCATTTATGTTTGGGTTAATTATGTTCTATTAGGGTTTAGTTATGAGGGTTTAGGGGATTTTAGGGGTCAAAACATTTTTTAGGGTTTATAATTTTAGAGAAATTTCAAAAAATGCCACTTTTCAAGTGCCACTTTACAAAAATGCCACACTTTTGAAATCTTTACAAAAATACCACTTTTTCAAAATTATTTTTTCTTTATATTATTTATGTTTGGGTTAATTATGTTCTATTAGGGTTTAGTTATGAGGGTTTAGGGGATTTTAGGGGTCAAAACATTTTTTAGGGTTTAGAATTTTAAGATAAAGACTTTATAAATCTATAATTAGTGCCATTTTTGCAAATGGACACCCCTATGTGGCATTCTTGCAAATGTGCACACAAAAAGTGGCATTTTTGTAATTGCCCCATAATTTTAAGATATAGGCTTTATAAATCTATAATTAGTGGCATTTTTGTAAATGGACACTCTTAAGTGGTATTCTTGCAAATATACACACAAAAGTGGTATTTTTATAATTGCCCATTTATTTAATACTAGATAATTAACCCGCACCGTGTGCGGGTATGAAACGTTTTAGAGAAATAGATAAATTTT